GGAGGCGCATGCGAGGAAGAATGACTAAGGGAGAGCGTTTCATTTTTTAAATAGTTATAGTACTTTTAAGATCGGTTCTTCTGTGACCGATCTTAAAAGTTATATCTGATACAACTTTTAAGATCGGGCATTAAAAGAACTGATCTTGTATACCACTTTTAAGATCAATTCTTTTGTACCCGATCTTAAAAGTTATAGCTGATACAACTTTTAAGATCGGGTACAAAAGAATTGATCTTAAAAGTGTTCACATTATTTACAAAATTGTCACCGCGTCACTATTAATATCGGTCACATTTTAACCGATCTTAAAACCCCGATTTTAAAACTAATTTTTGCACTAGTGAACAAAAATCTTGTCCTTTATATCCATCTACTAGGACATTTGATGTGTCACCTCCACCTTCAATACAAGGGTTACACTAACCAATTACTTCACAACTATTAAATTCAAATGTAGGACACGCTCACACCCTCAAATCATTTATTGCATTAGAGAAATAGAAATCTTTTCCTTCATATCCACTTGCTAGGACATTTGATGTGTCATCTCCACCTTCAACACAAGGGATACACTCACCATGTACTTCACAATCAACAAATTTAGATGTAGGATGCACCATTTTAGCATTCACTACAAGGAAAATGATAAATTGCGACGAACAAATTGAGACGGTTATATAGAAACCATCGTCGCTTTGATATTGCGACCCTTCATACGACATGCGAGGAAGAATGACTAAGGGAGAGCGTTTCATTTTTTAAATAGTTATAGTACTTTTAAGATCGGTTCTTCTGTGACCGATCTTAAAAGTTATATCTGATACAACTTTTAAGATCGGGCATTAAAAGAACTGATCTTGTATACCACTTTTAAGATCAATTCTTTTGTAACCGATCTTAAAAGTTGTGTCAGACATACCTTTTAAGATCAGTCATAAAATAACCGATCTTAAAAGTATTTTTAAGATCAGTTAAAATTTAATTGATCTTAAAAGTGTTCACATTATTTACAAAATTGTCACCGCGTCACTATTAATATCGGTCACATTTTAACCGATCTTAAAACCCCGATTTTAAAACTAATTTTTGCACTAGTGAACAAAAATCTTGTCCTTTATATCCATCTACTAGGACATTTGATGTGTCACCTCCACCTTCAATACAAGGGTTACACTAACCAATTACTTCACAACTATTAAATTCAAATGTAGGACACGCTCACACCCTCAAATCATTTATTGCATTAGAGAAATAGAAATCTTTTCCTTCATATCCACTTGCTAGGACATTTGATGTGTCATCTCCACCTTCAACACAAGGGATACACTCACCATGTACTTCACAATCAACAAATTTAGATGTAGGATGCACCATTTTAGCATTCACTACAAGGAAAATGATAAATTGCGACGAACAAATTGAGACGGTTATATAGAAACCATCGTCGCTTTGATATTGCGACCCTTCATACGACAGTTTTTCAAAACCGTCGCAAAATTGTTCAACATTGCGATGGTTTATCGTAAACCGTCGCAAAATTTGTAGAACATTGCGACGGTTTATGATAAACCATCGCAAAATTTGTTTAACATTGCGACGGTTTATCAAAAACCGTCGCAAAATTGTTCAACATTGCGACGATTTATCGTAAACCGTCGCAAAATTTGTTGAACATTGCGACGGTTTATCATAAACCGTCGCAAAATTTTCAGCATTGCGACGGTTTACTATAAATCGTCGCAATCTACAAGAAATTTTTTTTTTATTAAAAATAATTTTTTTAAGTATTATGTATATTATCTTAATAAACTTATATTTTATTAACAATTTTATATATACTTCCTTTAACATGAGGTACACGATTTTTTTTTCTTTATATAATTTCAAAATCGTGAC